AAAATAACATTGCAAAAATATTGTTATGAGAAATGTTTCGCACAAGACTGCGTGATGAGCAAAAAACTGTAATTGCGCTGAAGAATTGCGTAATGCAAATGAATGCCGAGAAAAAAAATTGGTCTGTTATCGCACACATTATCAGATTTTTTACGTTTGATTTTTTTTTCGTTCATTTTTTTGCGAAATTTTTCTCTTAATTTTTCCAACTGCGGATGCGCAAACGAGCGGAGCTCCCGTCAACTCTGTTGCCAGAACACAATGGCGATATAAATTTGCCCGGCGTTGTTGCGTAAAACCGACGACCCCGGCGAGCGAACGATCGGCGACAGGATCGCAATTTCTGCGACAGAGAATACATCCGGTCCGTGAAGTGTCCAGCTCCTTGACCTGATATCGCTGGTGCAAGACTCCGGGCCAAAATGCTTCACGATTGTATGCAAAATATCGATTTCGCGCATCGCGTGTATTCTTGCGATACTTGAGTTGCAGAAGCAACCGGTCCACTTCTTTGGACGAACAAGACAAGCAAGCGAGCGAGCGAGCGAGCGAGCGATTTGCACTTCGCGCGAGCAGACACGCAAGTAAAAAAAGATCCTGCACAGAACCTGCAGGATTTTTAAATCACACATTAATCTAACAGAAATATATATATATATTTTTTGTCGTATTAATTTTTCGATCAATTACTCGAACTGTCTGTGTGTATATTTATGATTAAGATAAAGTTTATTGAACTGCACACACAGATATCTACACGTAATTATCGCCGACGACATTTATCCTTGGAGCGTCCTGTGAGAGGTTACATAATGAAAGACGCAAGCATAACTGTGTAATTGCGATTTAATCGAGATCTACCTATACAAGTATCCATTTAATATCTATCGTTCTTATAAGAGTTGCGTTTGAGAATGAAGAATATGGAAAGCGGGGACCTTTTGACCTCGTTATTTAGAGAAGAGCACGTGCGATAGTTCGACGCACGTGTGTGCACGCATGTACACGCGTGACCTTTTGCTTTGTAATTGTTTCGCACACAATTTCACATTTGAAAAACACGCACACAGCGTTAAGAAACAATACAATTTTTAATTTGAAAAAAAAAAAAACAAACACTTTTATCAAGTTCTAAGAAAATTATTCAAAAGCCGAAAAATTTACAAAAATCTCAATTGCATTCGCAATTATGCGCGCGCGCGCGCTTACAAGTCATGCGAGTTCACGCACTCGAGCGAGTATTTAACCGCGATAACTAACGATCGCCATTAATAACTGTCAGCTGGTAATGACTAACTATCGACTGCCGATTATAATTTTCAACAATACTTCACACTCGTGCCGTTGCGCGCTCGAGAGTTCAGGAGGAGTATATTAAATAGTTCAAATGACCTTTAACGTTTGCATCATTTGTTCGCGACGCGCGCTCGAACTACAATTTACACTTGCGATATCACATAATTCGACATGCGACTTTATCGCGAAATGCGCGCGCGGAAAGTTGCCAGATTCCACGGGTCGTTTATCGATGATCGATTAAAAAATTGTTTCGGTTGCGGTTTGCAATTTGCATCTTAGATTTCGAACGCGAGATGTGCTCATATATATTGTGCAAACGTGAGAACTAATTTTCTCAATGATCATTGGCTCTCGATTGCGTGTAACGTCACGCGAAGAGAAATAAAAGTGTGTGAAAAAATTGACGAAGATTGCTGTGCTCGCAAAATATCCATCCGCACAAAACAAAACCTCTTTTGTACGATCGAAATTACATATGGAAAGTTTTTCAGAACCGCTAAATTAAAAAAAAATTAAACTTAATTGTTAATCGAGATACGTAGTCTCGATATCAGGACCGGCCCAGTGGTCTCACGACCTGAGTGCAAGGGCTGCGAACCCGGAGGTCCCGAGTTCGAATCCGCTCACCATCTAAGGATTTTTTCTGGGCCGGTCCCTTTCAACCGAGTTTATTGTGGTTGATCGGCGAACTATAAATCGGGCCTCCAAAAATTAAATTCGGGTCTCGACACCTGATATAATCAGCCGATGTGATAGGCTGAGAAAAAACTTCCCTGCTACTCTGAGCTTCTCAGTGCTCCGTCTTAAAAGGTTCAAAGGTGAGTCCGCGAGAGCTCTTAGCTTTAGCCTTGCGTTAGCCTTTGTGCTTTACGTGCTGAACGTAATGTAATTGAGAGTTGCTTCTGCCTCGAAGAGGCAGAAGCGAGAAAAAAGCATCGGTGAGTTACCGGCTCGAAGTCGTATTTTTATTATATAAAACACGCTATTAAATAAATGTTGTTTAACGTTTTTTAAAAGCACTGGCTGTCAGTGTCGCGTAAGACTAGAAGAGTCTCTTTTATTCTTTTTGGTTGTTTAAATTTGTTTCGGTAAGGCGAGCACAGCTGCGGTCGAGCGGCGGAGCGAGGGAAATTTTTTTCTATTAAATCTACTGTTTTTGAAAACAGCTGGATCCGGCGTATATTGTCCTAGCCGGTTATTGACCCGGCGTGTCGAGATAAGCGAGTCCGTCATCATTCGGATTACACCCGAATTTAATTTTTGGAGATCCGATTTAGTTCGCCGATCCAACCAATAAACTCGGTTGAAAAGGACCGGCCCAGAAAAAATCCTTAGGTGGTTGAGCGGATTCGAACTCGGGACCTCCGGGTTCGCAAGCCCCTGCACTCAGGCCGCGAGACCACTGGGCCGGTAGAATTTATTGTTATTTTATTTACTTAAACTCGCTCGTTCGTTCGTTCGCTCACTCGCTCGCTTGCTCGCGTGCGCGCGCGCGCGCGTTGTGCAACGAAGGAACAGGAGACCGATGATTTGCTTTCACTGACTCACCTTTACCATGATATTACGAATACCATTAACATTAATCTGGGTGGCATTTTCACCACGGCCGGTCCGTTCGCCTAAAATTTCGCGCTCATCGTGTCTAACGACTATTTAGCGTCGCGAAGCCAAATGAGAATTTCAATTAACGGCTCCGAAACTATTAGAATCGGTCGATCTTTCGATGTGGAACAGACACACGTTCGTTGATAATCGCGTCAAAACCTTGATATAAATATTATTATACGAACGCGCGATGCAATATTTTAATGAAAATAATTCGAGGTGTGTATGCACGCGCATAATAGAAGATTATTATCACATGTAATAGGAGATTATTATCGTGTCTAATAATAAAGTACGTAATATGATACTTTGAATAGTGCAATCCTGACTTCTGAGAAAACGCTCTGCTGCGCGTCTTTTGCCTATTGTATATACTTTGGTCGGATATCAGATATCGCGCATAAAGTCTTCCGATTAAATCATTTTAAAGTACACGTAAAATCACTTTGGTCAATTTCATTTGCAAAACAAATATAAAAACAAATATTTAAAAAACTATGCGCGTCCGATTGATCAAATTTTGACAAAAAAAAAAAAAAAAAAAAAAAAAAAAAAAAAAAAAAAAAAAAAAAATATGTAACAAAAAAAAAAAAAATAAACAGAAAGAGAAAGAGAGACGTTATTTTTCGAGAAAGCGCGGGTTTTCTGTAATTGTAATTTTAACGCGTTTCGTTTTGCACAAATGCGCCGCCGGAATATCTCCTCACTTGAGCTGTCGACATCGCGTGTCAAAAAACGATAGTTCGGCCAAAAATAACGAACGAGACGAGAGAGAAAGAGAGAGAGAGATACGCGCGGTTTTGAAGATCTTTCTTGCCGACAACGGAAAGGATAGAAAGAGATGCGCTTCAGAGCAAACTCGAAGTTGTCTGATAGATACAGACATGTAACATTTTTTTCTTCCCTTTCCCAAAATATTGACGCAACGATCGTGTTGAGCAATCAAGTTTTTACTATGTGACGCGGTTGTTTGATCGCGCGGTGAGAAATTCTTATATAAAATAATCTGTATGTGAACGAACCAACAAATTGACTTCGCCTCGGCTCGATTTCGACTTCACTCGTAAAGCTTGAAAAATTATCAAGCGGTGTCCGTTAAACACACATGGCAATTTGTAACTTCAGACATGTTTTGTGTGCGCGTCTTTTGTGCGCGCGCATGCATTCTCTTCATTATACCATACATGTTCATAAAATATATATAATACACGATACGATAATTTTTTAAATATTTATCATGTATACACACAAATAACAAACAGCGAGTATTTTTAGTCTTATTATATAAAAAAAAACTCTTATTGTTTAAATAGAGACCTGATTGGCTTTGCGTACTGGAATAATTTATTATTTGCACGGTGATCGCAACTGGCTTGTTAAAAATCGTTAAAGGCACAGAGAACGAGTAAAGGACGAGTCCTTTGTAATAATTACTTATATATCTCGATGTGTTACAATAACAGCGGCATGATTACATCATGATCGGAGTATATATGCGTACGCAATTAAGATTTAATAAGTACAGCGTGATACACAATAATGTAATTGCGATGTGACATACTGCGATCTAAAGCATCTCTGCAGTCTCCGTCACTTCTCGTTGAAACGAAAAAAAGGTGGAAAAGCGAGGCGCTCGAAGGATCGACAACCTAACGTATCGCGTCAGTAGACAATATTTCTTCATTCCATACATGTATGCTTTGCCTCAATTTTACATACGTGCGTCGAATAGTTTGAAACCGTTTGAAGGTGAGGTCTTTTTTTTTTGGTTTATCTTCGATTATATTTATGCGCGACACAAACGTGTTTTATTATAACTCGATGTCTTTAAGTGGTCGTTTGATTTTTAAATAAAGACGTATAACTTAATCCGCGCAAATTGCATAAGCTGTAATATATCGACTTCTTTCTTCGAGTAAGGCAAGGTTTTGCGTAATTCATATCTGAGGGTATTTTACTATCGTGTATATTACATAATTCTAAATTTTACATTGAACACACGGACATGGAGCGTTGCTGCGCGTTGCACCTGCAACGTACAATAATTCTCGTGTTTGACTCGCGTTTGATTTTATTACTCGAGCTTTTTCTTCTTATATCCGTAAATTGCAGCGTCTTCGTTCGTTTTTTTTTTTTTTTTTTTTACGACCTCTTTCGTCACACCTCAGTCGTGATTTCTCAAAAACTATTCGCGAAACAAATTGCACGTTAAAAATAATTAATTGGCAATTTGCTAACCTTGTATCAAAACGGTCCAAATCTAAAAAAAAACTTCAATTTCTAGAACGATGAAACGTATTATACATATGACGAATGAATAAAAATTCTCATGAAATTTTGATGAGAGACTCGCAAAACACATTTGTGTGCTCATCTCTTGCGTTCACCCGACCGAGCTGACTCATCTCGCTCTCGCGTACAAGGTAGACATCGATTGATTTCGCAACAACTTGCTCGATTTGAAACCGACAAGATTCGATTATCGAAATGTTTCGTCGCGCCAGGGAGAATGTATGCAATATTTATAACAACGCTTTTTTCGCTTTGTCGTTTATTATTTCCATGGTCGTAGGTCGCGGTGAAGCCATCCGCTTCGAAAGAATCTCTCTTGGACAATTGATACCGATCTCCATGATGTGATACGAGCGATACATGTATGTGATAAACGATGTCGCGGTGATAGGCGGAGACTGCGAAAGTCAGGACTTAAGCAACGTCGTTTCACGTCGATATGTCGAAGCGTAGAGCAATCCTAGACACGGGCGATTCTAGTATCTTCTGTAGGGCTCCTCCTCTTCGGGGTGAGCCGCGTTGTGCGCCAAGGCGCGTTGTATCGCCACCGGGATTGGCGGCGGCGTCGGCAGGTGGGCGCCGCTCGCCAGGAAGCCATTCTCGTCGGCCGTGTAGGTGACCAGGATCGGCGTCCCGTCCGGAGCCGTGTAACTGTACTGACCTCTGACCACCTCGATCTGATTGGGACCGATGTTCTTCGGCTGTCCTGTCTCCGCCACGGAGATGCCGTTTTCCGTGTCGTAGCTGTAACGCAAGCACATTCGTTCAGCGTGATTCCTTGTTGTTATAAAAAAAAACAAAAGACTGAGACTTTATAAAAATTGCAACAAACATTTTAATAAATTGTGAAGTAATCTTCAAATTTAGAAACTTTTGTGACAAAACTCACGTCACGTGTGTGTGAAATTATTGTCAGACGTTTTTATTTACGAGATTCATCTTTGCCGTTAACTCAATGCAACTTTCTTGTATTTGCTCTTCCACCGATAGCCGGCGATATTCCAGGTAGGAAAACCAGTTGGAGAAAGAAAAACTTTACGCGCCACCTTGGAGGTTGTTAGGTGGAGCCAGTCCGGGCCCTCCGGTGTCCCACAGACAGGTGTCACGCAGGAGGGGCTCTCTAGCTTGGTGCAAACTCCAGAGCACCGAGGATGGGTAAGAAAGGTGAGCGCGCGTAGGCAGGCGCAGGCAGACAAGCAGAGGTAGGCAGGTAGGTCGATTGTAATTGTTCAATTGCGCAATGTATTATTGCGAACTGCGCAGCCGAGTGGCGCGCGTACACGATTAACATCAAAGCCAATTATACGTCCCCTTCTCCCGCGCAGTCCTTCTGCGCGACGAGAGTTCACGGTGGTTTCTGCGGTGTTCCGATTAAGGCGGTCGGGCGCCTTATGAGTGGCGCCCCGGCAAATCGGAAGAAACGCCAGCAGCAGGTGACTCGACCCGGCACGCCCGATCGATTATCTCGAGCATTGCATTCCGTGAGTTCGCGTATGCACGAAACCTCTCTCGCAGTTAGAAAACGTCGGGAGGGACAATTGATCACATTACGAGCGTATGAATCGTCACGAGAATAACTGTTTGTGCAAAGTGCGGACTACCGAATCGAACGGCAACGCGTCGATAATGCGAATGTCGCAACGCGATATATCGCGGGTTTCTAATTTCGAAGTCGATTGTTGGTTGTTGCGCATCTCAAGATGCGTCTCTCGTGTGAATTCAGCGTGTGTGATTCAAATACCATCTCGCTCGCGAGACGGTCGCATTTATCTTCTAACAGATATAATTCGATAATCGCCGACCCACAATCTCGCCATGTTCGACTAATTACGGTGAATCATACGTTAGAAAGTCAGAGAGAGATGAGAATATGTTTCAACACACATCCTATTTGTACGACGGTCGATTTTTGTCTCGTGCGGAATTTTACATAATCATTCAGCATTTTATATTAAAACCAATAATTATCCGATAACTAAAGATAATATTATTATATATCCCAGTCGTGAGTTGAACGTAATAATTATATTGAGACTTGTTTTGAATTTCGCGCGTCGACGAAAATTTCGGATTATGTTGTAAGCCCGTAATAATAATTGTTGTTACAAAACCGTTAGTTTGAATATGATTAAAGTGTTAATTTTAAACTAACTATCTTTCTCGTATCTTACCATATTTATTTGTGTAACGTGTGTTGACGCGTAACTGTAACATCTCTTTCTCATCGTTACGTTTCTCTCAGATTATTTTAGTTTTCAGTCTTCCGATTTTTAAATTTGTCAGTTGTCTGTCTCGCCAGCTGCACTTATTTTTGCATGTTTAATTTTATTTATCTCCGCAATTGTTTCTGCATGTCTAATACTTTTTTTATTTATTACAATTGTTATCACCATCATTGTTATTATTATTATGTCAACGTTGTACGTGAAGACATTTGTAACTTCGCAATGCATCGGATGAGGACTGTACCCGCGAAGCGGACACACGTCTAATTATGGTTAATGGAACACATCACCGTACTCGGAAACATTTCCGAGCAACCCATGTAGGACTTCTCGGCCTTCGCGCGCCCGAATCGAATTTTCTTTCCTTTCATTCGACTCTCTTTCGCATGTCTCGAGGAACTTGAAAATTACTCGAGAGTGGGCGGGGTATAATAAAAATCGCAAACCTAACGTAATGTTGCACGATCGACATAATTGCAAACGTTCAAACTCCATTTTCGGACGGTAAAAGGATGTCGAATCAGATTGAAACACAGCAACAACTGAACAATGCTTACATAGAGATCCACGTTGCTGATGATCAACCAAACGCATCCCACATCTATTCAGACAATCATATCGATTCTTTTCGATCAACATGAAACGTGCATCTTAATATAATGCCTAACGTGCTTTCTGAAAAAAAAAAAAAATTTGCGCAATCTGTTTAACGCGTTCTCGAATATAATTTTTTCTCAACTCACGCGTTTTCAATGATTTGCGTATTTGAAAACATTCTAATTAACAGGAAACCTGAAGAACTAATGTGCGAGCTTATATTGAGAAATAGGATATACAGGTTCTAATCGCGTCGGACGCGTCACCATTTTTCGAACATTTCCGGTGCGGTTTAACTAGACGCTTCCTTCCTGCGTATTAATCACTTCTCCGATGAAAATAGAATGGGAGAGAAAAAAAAAACATCTGGCGGTCACGCCGAGCGTGTTAACTTCGCGATTATATCGACCGAATGGTGCGTGCGTGTCTTCATACCGCACACGTTCGAGGGCAACCGCGACTCCTCGAGCGTGTCGAGATGCTATTTCCCTGGCGGATGCGGCGCGGCGCCCGACGCATTATCCGTCGCAGGACGAAGTGGACGGAAGAACGATATCTCACCTGTAGGAGTAAGATCCGTCCGGCGAGGAGTCTTGAGTTTGTCGCAATATCGCGTAGAAAGGCCGGCCGTAGTAGTTGGGATTGTAATATTGCGCCGGCTGCGGATACGGAGTCGTAAACCTATTGAGCTGCGCGCACGCCATCATCGTCAGACTCAGCAGCAATATCTGCGAAATAATAATTGTTAACATATATGTGTCACAACGTGCACGAATTGAGAGACTTACGCATATTGCGCAATGTGAGAGAGAGCACGCTTTTCTTAGCTCGATCGTCTACGTCGCATAAAATATAGCAATGTAAAATTATTAACAATGTCGCATAAGGAGTCTCGCACCGTTTCGGAAGATTTTTTAACCGCGTAATAATATTTTTAATTAAGCAAATAAATATTAAATTTAGTTTTCAATTAAATTAAAAATTTTTCAATTATGTGCACAACAAGCGCGATCGACAAAAAAAACATCTTCGAGTATAACGCACTATCGGTTCGGTTTTGTGTCTCCAATTTACGTTTTGTCGTAAGTATCATTTCGCGTTAAATTATTCAACAAGTTACTCGATAGCGCAGATCAGCGAAACGAGAGAGAGAGAGAGGAAGAGCACACTGGCACACAGAGATGCGGCGAGACTCGCACGCGGATTTATATAACCTGCGTATTACTCATGCAAAAGGGCTGGCTAAATAAGTACATAGAAGTAGATAGGTAGGCAGTTCGGCACGTAGAATTTCGATTCACCGTCGAAGCTGCGGCGCGCTTATGAATAATCCCTATTTATCTTCCGCGCGTCTCTCATAAAATCCTCCTCGTCTCACGCTTTGCGTCGCGACTTCGACTTCCTCTATTGTGTGTCGAAAGCCGAGTCGCAAGTGATTTGCGACGATGCGCATGCGGTGTATTTTTTCACATTGCGCGCGCGCGCGCGCGCTCTAACGAGAGGAGAATAATTTTTAATAAATAAATTACAAATAAAATCACAAGAAGCGTACGATCTCTGTAGGGTTACAATGGAGGCGCTTGTAAAAACTGTCGCGGTCTCGATGCATCGTTTCATTCATCGGTCGCACGATGTTGCCGCAATTACGCGCGGGCAGAGATAATATTTCCGCGATAATATACCGCGGAATTGTTAATACGCGAGAGTTATCGCATCGCAATTTTTACGAACAATCGCGCCACACCGTCATCATTCCTTCCGAGAACGGATCGGAGTTGCCATTCGTGCGCGTTTGAACGGAAATGACGAAATTAGCTCTGATAAAATCGTCTTCGTCGTCGCAACATATTACGTTCGCAGAAACTTGTATTTCACTTCGCGAGCAAAGCGTTAATTCTTGACAAGTTCACACGCGTGCAATCGCCGATCGAACGACTGTTCGCACTCGTAAAAGTCAGTTTGAACTTAATTGTCACGGTTTCATTTTGCACTTAATCGAATCTCTAATTATGAAGAAAATCTGGACACAAAGATTTATGAATTACAGATTAGGATTAGATTAGATTTGTTACGAAATAAAATTTTAAAAATCTCATTCAAATCGAATTCTGTTAAAACTCGGAAAAAAAACTCAGTTTAGAACGATTGAATTTTTTTACGATACGTGTATAAATTGTTCGACAATGACGTTGTTTGCGACAAGATTTTTCTAGTCGCAATCAAAGTTTCAAGTAACGCTACTAATTGCGCAAAGCTCGTAACGTAACAATAAGAAAAATATAAAAATAAAAATGCACAAATCGGCAATTAATTTTCGGCATTTTGTGCGAGCGATCGCGGAATATCTCGGTTGAAAGCAAAGAGAAGTTACACTCACAAGGATCTTCATGGCGAATTTTTGCCGTATATTCCGGGGAAGATTCGGCCAAGCGGACTCTCTCGTCGGACTATTGTCGTATTTGCAACTAAGCGTGTGCAACACTTTGCGTGTGTCAGCGGGTGTTTTACACTGCGCACTTCGGAATCTCTCCCCGAAAAGCTACGTACAAGACTCTCGTGTTAACTGCAGTTAGAGGCACGGAGCTTAGGTGGGTCATGGTGAGGCTTTATAGTCACCGAGACGCTCTGCTTGTGCCCCCTTTTCGCCCCGCCATCGACCGCCGTTTTCCGGAGGCCGAAAGGGAGAATAAATCTTGCGATGCACTCACGTAATCCGAGCAAAGGGTGGTGGTGGATACGCGCGGTGGTCGGGGCTTTCCGATTAGACGGCATTAGATAGGTGGGTAACCGGCGATCTCCCCCTCGCGTGGCACTTCGCGCCTCGTGTGTGTGTGCGCGTCTCCCGCGTGCATCCGCGTGCCCACGTATCGCGATCCTCCGTGAGTATATGTGTGTTCGCAATCTAACAAGCTCATTAGATTACACACGCAAACGTGGCAGTCTTCTCGTATGCACGAAGTCCGATTGTTGGATACGACATCTGGTATCAAAAGTTTGTTAACACAAAAAGAATGAGAGTTAGACAGAAAATCCAGAAAAATTCGACGTTGCTGAATACGCTTAAAAAAAAAAAAAAAAATGATAATTTTCAAGTACAAAAGAAAAGTTTTGAGGACTGTAGAGTCAACAATTTTCTCAAGAATATACACCATGGGAACGTAATTGCGCGTTTAGCATATTCTTCGCGGATTTCACAGAAATTACGCGTGGGTATCAGAACTCTGAGAGAAAGAGAGAGAGAGAGAGAGAGGGAGAGGGAGAGGGAGAGGGAGAGGGAGAGAGCATATGGACACGGCATAACTAATAAATAATTATAAGAAAATAATCGCTTATAAATATTTCATGGGTGATTTCTGCAACGGGACGTCGATAATCGAAGATATTAACTATTATGCAAAGAAAATTTATGTGTTTCCTTCTGTGTCTCCGATTAATTATAACGCTCTTCTTAAGAAACGTACGTGCATCTCTACCCACTAATATCTCACGACGCATATGTATTTTGTTATTCATGATATTTAAATTTAACGTGTGAAAAAATTTCCGCTCCCTCGCGATTGATATACGCGCGGGGCGATTGACGGATATCCGAAACGACGCTTAGATAGCGACGCGGTGATGTCACGTTGCCGTTGACAAATTTCACCCCTTAGAAGAACAAACGCTTTTCAGATCTGGAAGTAAATCTGGAAATTACACCGGGACCGTATTCGGCGGATGAGTTCGAAACCCAACTCGTAAATTCAGGCCGCAGTCGAGGTTTTAGTCGGCATTGTCATAAAAAAAAACTACGTGCGATAACGGGCCAGCGTTTGACATTTGTTCTTCCGAAAGATGAAATTTGTCCGCGACAACGGCAACGTGTCGTTTCGGATACTTATCAATCGTTCCTCACAGGTTTGTTCATTTATCTATTCCTACACGATAGACACTACCACGCACACACATTGCGAATCTTCACGACATTTCTCGAGCAAAAGAACAGAAACTTCGCATTCTCATTCTTCGACCTGTCCGGGATTTTCTTTCTATCGCCTGGGGCGATATATTCCGAGGCATCTCCTGGTTACCGCGAATCGACAAGAGCGAAACGCTCCGCAAAGGGGAGGAACGTGTAAGGACGTGGCGAACAAAAGACGCGGGAGAAATTATATGACGAGCTCGAGACCGAGGTTGACTATAAGGTGCTGCACGTTTGACAGGTGGTATTTAAACCAGGATCAGTGACGAAGAAGAAATCCCGTGTACATACATTTGTGTTTTTTCTCCTCAAACACGTTGGTATAATAATGATATTTACAGTTTCTCTAATCTCGTTGGACGTGCGGTATACAAATGCGCGCGTGGGCGTAATGGAGACAACGCGGCACGTAGACCGAGACCAAGTCTGTTAACTCTTATCAGCAATATCTCCAATCGCACGTGTTTATGTACGTGCATACACACATCGAAGACGCAGAACGTCGGAGACATGAATATTAATATTATACTTAATGTCCTAATGCACGTGGGCGAGTTCGCGGAAATGAAGAATTTCGGTTCTTGTCGCGAAAAAAAATTCGAGAAAATATACAAAAAATTGCAGAGTAATATAAGAAAAGAGACTTAATTACAAATATTCAAAAATGTAATTTAAAATTAATCTTTTTATCTAAATACACATTTAAGATTCAATAAGCGGTTGATTGTGAATTTAAACGCTTCGAGGATATGTCGGAAATTTATTTCTCTCGCCTCTTGATATATTTTCTACATATATTTTCTATACATATAAATTAATTCTCAGAATTACATTAATAATTAATGCGTTCGCGTGGTGCTTAACACGCATCCGCACTCAGGATTATAGATTATGTTTTGATAAGAGGCGTTTCAAACTCGCTCATCAATTATACTCCACTAATTTACGCTGTAATAACGCGCGGAGCTGTCATGTATCGCATTCCGCAGGACGAAACAATGACGGCCTTTTTATCCACAATAAGCTCTCGAGCATATATCTAGGATAAAATCCGATATCGTCGTTTACACACGCCGAAGAACGAACCTACCCTTTCTTTTGTCTCGGTGCTTAGCATTCTAGGAGCGAAAATTGTTGCATTGTTTGATGTACGGGAAAAGAGGCTTATATATGTTCGCAATAAACTCCATGAATAACGGCATCGACCTCGCAACAATAAAACAATTTGTATCTCCGTGGAACGAAATACTTGCTCATCAATTTGCGCGCTTTATGAGAATAATTCGCTCCTCGTCTACGAACGGAGTCCATTTCTCGAGCGCGCGCTCGTTGTGAAAAAAAATTGCAAAATACTTATCAAGATAAATAATTTATGTTTTCTAGACGAAAGAACATTACAAATTGATATTTGGAGAATTGTTTTCGAACATCATTTTGCTTTCTATTTCTTTCGAGATCTGTGTGTTCTCGAAGTGTTGTTGTCGAATCGAAATTCGTATATAAATCTCGAAGCCGCGGACGGCGCGTTGCTTAACATCACGCCGCGCATGAATTGAATCGATATGAATTTTCGCAAAATGCGAGCCACGCATCTGACATTTGATTTCTCGAGTAGGACACAGGGCGGGGCGTTCGACAATCGGGACATTTCGACAACCGCGCGATACTACGACGCGCCTCTTCCTCGCCTCCCGTTAGGCGCAGAAAGGTGTTTACCGTCAAGAGAACCTCAACAAAAGGCGGCGCCTTGACATTAAAAACTGTTCTTTCCGCGCGAAGAATCGCGCTATCTCTATTGCGCGGCTCTCTATTGAGAACTGCCGGGGGACGGACCGGGGTGATCTCCGAACGAGAGGAGAGCATCATAAAAGACGAATAACCTGCCAGTTATTCGCGAGCTTACTCAAGCCGAGGCGCGATCCGTCCTCGGATTCATCATCGGCCCGCAAGAGATCTTCGATTCCTGAAAGAGACGCGTTTCTTCGCGCGCGCCCGAAACACCACGTCTGTGGCGTCTGCGGCGCGGCATCAGCATCTCGCTCTATCGGGCACGAGATCTCTCTCGTTGCGCCATCGCAGCTCTCTTCTGTTGGGCACGTGATCCATTTCCCAATATCTTCAACTTAAATCTTTCTAATTAAGTTACTTCGCTTGTAGTTTTTTTTTTTTTTTTTTTTTTTTAATTTTCTAAAAATACACATGTTTCGTAAAATGGAAAGGAATTTTAGAATATAAAACCGAGAGATGTCAATACTTTTGTTGAATTAGAGTCGCAATCGCAGATTTTTTCACGGTGGAATTTACAAGGGACAAACACGTACGTGATTATGTGTACACGTAATGTCTAACGGGACATACCGGAGAATAGAGCAAGACGTAACCTGCCAGTTATGCCACGCGGGGTTACTCAAGAGCGGCATGGTAATCCGCCCTCGGATCTGCATTCGTTCGCTCGACGTCTACTGACTTAAAACGCTATTATGACGCCAATTTTTCCCCGGACAATTGCAGGAACCTATCCTCGATGCTCGTGTACCTGATAATTCCAGTCTCGTCGCGTATATACCGCGTTTCAATCTCAAGGATCTCAAGCGAACTAATTCGAATCGCATCCATCAATGGTAACGACTGCGGAACACGAAGAACTGGGGAGTTAGCGCACGAAATAAATGCTTGTTCTCGCGTTAAAAGGATTCCTACAACCAAATTACTTAAAAAAAAAAAAAAGATCAATTGTTATTAAAATTGATTGTAATTTTTTAGTTTGCAATTTAACGGGGAATTTATATTGTGGGATGCGGATTGTGTCGATTAAAATTTTGAAAGTGTGGAATATAGTCAAATGACGATATTTCGGTCGTGTACACATACGCGTTACGCAAAATCGATCTCTCTTCCGTCACGCGTCGGTGCCGTGACGTCTAGTATTTATATTTACAACGCGACGTAATGAACTATAATCACGTAATAGCGGTGCGCGCGATGATAATGGCGTAAATTCGCGGCTGCCGCTTAGAGAAAAGTGCATCCATATAATCCGCCCTCAATACGGTCTCTCCAATTACCGCTCTGCGGAGGAATCTCTCTCTCTCTCTCTCTCTCTTTTTCTTCTTTCTATCCGCAAGAGGGTATCGCGAATCTCCCCTCAGCACATCCCGCTCGTTATTATGAAATATAAAATCACGTTTAACGGGATGCATCGCTTCGAGTTTGTTACTTCTTTTTTTTGTTTTGTTTTTTTTTTTTTTTTTAACAAAGGCGCGGTAGTTTTACGCTCGATAGTGATTATAACGCGCGCACGCTTATGTAAATCTGCTTCGCGATTTTGCAATGCGATCCGACTGACGGATCCGAAGCTGTAATTAATCCATCTGTTCGAAGATGGAGAACGTATCTTCTTCTCTTCTCTCGCTTAACCAGTCTTTCGCGCGCAAAAGCGGTTCCTCACAGCTTGAAGTTGCAGTTTAAAAAGATTACAAGTTTTTGGCACACTCCGAGGAGTCATGGTATATTTGCTTGCAAATTATAGATTGACTAATTAATCAGAAGTTGATTCGCACGTGTCAACATGTCACTCGATTCAAAATATGTGAATCGATGGGAAGTTATTGCAGGAATAGAATTTAATTAATTAAAATTTATCGATTTTAATGGAAGTCGTCGCCTGTGCGACAGCAAAAGTAATTTTCCCGATTACGGGCCCTGATTACAAAAGTAATCGAACGTGAATCCATTCTCTCATTGTGATCTCTCTCTCTCTCTCTCTCTCTCTCTCTCTCTCTCTCTCTCTCTTTCAGTCGCATCGCGGTTTTTCCTCTTTCTGTGTGCATTGCGTACGTTACATCTGCGCCCACCGCGACGTGTATCCTTACCTATTCCCGCGATCATGTTCTATCAGAACCGCCCACTGGGCGATTCAACGATTAGAGAAACGCGCGGTTATCGGCGCGCGAGGGAATTCCTCTCCACTCCGAGAGTGTACAAGGCTTATTACTGCCAATCCCCGCTTGAGAATCTCTCAAAGAAATCATCCGCGTTTTCTCCTCGCGGGCGCAAAACCGCGAGAAAACTCAACCGACATTTGTTAATTAGCACATCGCGCGCCAGGAGAGCTTCAGCTAATTGCAATAGTAACGCGACCTCTCGGCACGATCGGTCGCGGTTAAGTATATTAATTCTTTCTTATAGGTCTCTTCGATTGTGCAATGATACGTTTTACGCTTTCGGCTGTAAGGTCAGTTGAAATAATAAAGATGCGCGGTAACAACTGACGTAATGTACTTTTGCAATGACAAAATTTTTAGTAAAATAGTAAATTGTGGAAGTTCGGCAAATGTAACGTGAATTAACGAATCGGAAGAATCCACACCTTAATGATTTCATCAACGGAAAATAAGGTCTTTTTGTTAATTATTTTTCAAAAGCTGAGAACTTAACATTATCGTAAATTGATCGGTTTTATTCAGATGTCAGATAATAAATGTCGATACAGGTAATCAACTTATCTCGTCTGCACAAATTACTATTAATATGATTGAGACATCGCGACGTATGATTTTCTACGTTTGCGTGTCTGTCGTGTAAGACGTGTTAAAGAAGAGAAGATCGTGTCGAGATATTTTCGCGTCTCTTATCGTTTTCTATACAATGTTGCGTTGACGGGAGCGTCAGTGGGCGCGAAAAGTCGCTGATTATTGACGAACGGTGAACATCATAATAGTCGTGAGATTTTGCCTAGGAACATATCTTCCACGTTGATTGAAAAGATGCCGGTCGAGGATTTACGGAGAATTTTATTACGTCGCGCGCGAAAATTACATCTTAATCACATCGGATCGACGTTAATCAACGCTGATTGCGCTCTTCACGCTACCGGGACAATAAACGATGGACGTATGAACGAAACTGTTATAATTGGTTATATTGCCTTCGCGATCAGAGATGATAAAAATAGTTTATTAAGAGAGAGAGAGAAAAACAAATGAAATTAAATTATTCTACAAATGTAATTGTGAAATAAATTCACTGCTCTGTTGCTTTGCAAAATTTTACTAAAGTTTTTAAAACCAAATTTTGATATTATACAAATATAAAAATTAATTAGAGAAATACACAAATTAATTAGAAAAATTCCAATATAAACGCGTTTCGGAACGCGCGTTTCGTTTTTTTCACATTAAATTTTTTCCGAATTATTTTGTTCGAACGTGTACGATATAACGCGCTTCTTCTCTCAATGAAGTCTCCATTTAAATCTACAACCGCGTATACAACAACGAACACATAATCACACGATAATTCGTGAAGCGCAGAATATTTCAGCCTTGATACTAATTTCGGGCGATAATGATCATCGTCATCTTCTTTCTCGTTAATATTAATTATTTATTGCGTTCCCGCCTACATCGTTTCCTTCATCTCGCGAATCTTTCCGCGTTCCTTCTGTCTCCAAGGAAATCGCATTGTGATGTACGCACACAATGCGCGTAGTATCTCGGCGCGTGCATTGATAAACCAACCAGTTGTCTCTGAGAGAACGTCGTAAACATTTTGTTTAAGTAGAGAGGACGGGCACACACACAAATGGAAGTCGCGCAGCATCCGCAGTCACACAACTCGCCTCTCCCCCTCCATAAATAGAAACTCCTATCATCCGCAGGTTGTGTACGTGAAATTGCTAAACAGGCGTGGTTCTGTAACGTGGGTTATATATGTTCGTTGCGCAAGAATTAATGCCAGGGTCTCTCGGGAACATCCGCGTGTTAAAACAAAAAAAAAAAAAAAACGATGTAGAATATGTATATCTTGTCGCGTCCTCACAGAAAGTCGCGAAATTGTGCCGCGTGTGATCCGGAAATAAGAAATTCCATGAATATTTGCGATGAATGCGGACGCGCGGACGTGTGTCGTTACGGCGACACACGAATGAAACGCAAAAACGCACTTAAAAATATATGTATTGTACAATAATTACAATCAAAATTGTGAGCAATTAAAGATCTGTGTGGTATCATTTTGTATAAAATTTGTATTATATTTATGATTTTTTGCGTTCTTAACAGAAGGTGGTATCGATTTATATCTCGGAAGTGTTAGCAGATGTAGAATATTACATGCTTCGTGACAATTGGTTTTTTTTTTTTTTTTTTTTTTAAGAAATATTTATATTAAAAATAAGTAAACCTACACACACATATATGTCTACACGCTTCGAGAGATATGGCGTCTAGTCCGTGAAATATCTATATTGGCTGCGTTCGACAGAAGTCAGCGCTCGGCAAACCTGTGTGTGATTTTGAATATCTGACAGAGAATCTGTAGAATATTCTCTTATTGCGAAGTAACAATCACCGGTCATCGTTCATTAAACGCTGATTTCTGAACGCGGCCCGAGTGTCGTCGATCGTTTATTGTTGATTTTCGGGTTGCGGATGGGTCAGGACGTAGTTGACGGCTCTCTGGATCAGTTCCGGTACCGGTGGAGCGACCGGCAGATGAGCGCCCTGCGGGTGGAAGCCGTTCTCGTCGGCGACGTAGCTGATGGCGATCGGGGTGCCATCGGGAGCGGTGTACTGGAACTGGCCCTGAGCCACCACCGCGGGCTCTCCCTTGGGTCCCACGGGCTGCGGCGAGCCCGTCTCGGAAGCGGCAATCCCGTTCTCGGTCTCGTAGGCGTAGTTGTAAGATCCTTCGGGCGACAAGTCCTGCGATTGCCTCAAGATGGCGATCGGCTGTCGCTGTTGGGCCGCAACGATGGCGACTAGAGCGAGGGATACAATCTGGAGAGCGCAGAGATCGCACATGGATAAAAAAATATGAAGAACGGTTGGAAGCCAGCAGTTCGTTGCGTAAATTTGTAATTTTTTTTCACACAAAAATGTACAATTAAAAAAACAAAAATACTTTATCGCGCGAAGATAAGGAATTGCCGCAGATGCGTCGGGGAACAAATTGCGTCGAAAAAAAAAAAATATATACATTTCTCAATAAAACTCTACAAGGTTGTCTGTTTCATTTCACGCGCGTGTTGCGATAATTTACATAAAACGACGGACGCTCGGTTCGGACGGAGCCTCTGGCGACAACGATAGTTTACACGAATTTAAGAATCCGGACTAGATGATCGAGTTGAATGAAATATTATTGGCCGATCGTAATAGGTCGAGCGCGACTTTCGATGATCCGAAAAGATAAAATGCTGATCGTTGCATTTTTTGACGACGCTTACCTCAGCGTCCTTGGACGCGTTTTCGGCGTCCGTCGGTCGCAATTATCTGACCATGCACTCGCGCGTAATACATACTCACTTGTTATATATCAAGTGGATATAACAAATATTATTATTTTAAAGCGTAAGTAAAGATCTTTTGCTAGTGCATTTTAGAACATTGATATAACAATTGCAAAGCGAAAAAGAAGAACAGATTATTCTGCAAATTTACTGAATAATACGAAACGAATTAGGTTAATCGCGTCGCTTTGTTGGTTAATCAAATCAATGAATCAACTATCAAAACCGTCGGTCAGTTAAAAATATGCGCGTTATTCGAGAGAGTCAATAGCATTATATAAAATCCGTCTTGTAATTGGCCGGAACGTACAGAAGAGGTAAAAAAAAAAAAAAATTGCTACTTCGCGCACAATGTTACAAAAAAAATTACAGGTTTTGTTGCGGGGATCCATGAAAAAAGATCAGATATCATCTGAGGTGTTAAATAATCCTTCCAGATAGGCGAGTTAATGCAATTATGAGCGAATATAATTATAAAGGTCCGCCGCCGTTTTCCATCACGAATCTCATTACTCACGTTGTGAGCGTTCGATCTGTTTTATTATTGTTATTTTTTTTTTTTTTATTCTCTTCTCGATAAATCGGCCAGATGTTAATTGGGTCTTAGATCACACAACGAGCCGCGTTGCAACAGTCGGAGAAGATCAAAGCAAACGGGAAAATCCGAGAAGATATTAATTCGAAGCAACTAATTGGCAAACGTTCGTTAGTACACGAGATGCGGAAGATCTCAATTGTGAATTTCTACAAGTCTCGGTTGTTAGATATTGATTAGAGGTGAATGTTAATATCAGTTTATGGGTCAAGTTTTAAGTAAAAAAAAAAAAAAAAAGAAAAGAGAAAAGAGAAAAGTAAACGGAAGATATATACAAGTAAAGAACTTACGAGGAATTTCATTTTGTCGTGTGAGTAGCTCGAGTTTGTTGATCCAATCGTGATATAATAAAGCGTGATGAGATTTCGAGTGTGATTGCCATCAGTGCCGAATGCGCTTTTATACGAAACTACCGGACCCCACTTTCCCTGCGATCCATAATGGTGTATATACTCGAAAACGAGAAAAAACATACCATCCAGACGCACATCAAGAAGGAAGGACAAGGTGAAAAAAGAAGGGAGAGCCCGGTTCATCCACGGAGAGGAGGCCGTGCGATATGTTCGTACACACAGAATCTTCTTCTGCCAAAAATCTGTCGACGTGATGACCTTTTCGCGCGACGCCCGAATCGATCAGAGTTACGTAATCGACGACGAGAAACCTGTTGGCATTGCCTCTTACTTGTCTTCCAGAAGTTCACAATGCACCTGCTGTACGATATATCACACGGATAAAGAAAAAAAAAGAAGATGAAATCTCAATAAGATTTAACAGATAACAAAAAAAGGATCATCGCGGTTCATAGAAAGTAAAAGCCGCGTCCCCGGCGGAATTTCACCTCTCGCGTCTGATTTGGAAATCCAGATACTTCTTCTCTAATTTCTAAATCTCGAGCGCGCGAGGAACATTTGCGATTTCACTGAACGTGATGCGCGCGCAATTGAAATCGCACGTTTTTGTTACACGTTTATATTAAAAAATTTATTTATTTTAAATACTAAAAAATTGTTCGTATTTCTTCTCTCGTCAGGTCGTTTTTTTTTGTGATCGAGTGGAATTTGCGTGATTCTGGAAATTTGTAGAATAGATCTTTTGAGAAGACCTCGGTTTTTACTCACGCCGCGTGATTGCGTGCGTGCCACCTTCGTGTTACCATCTCGATAAACTTAGGTGCTTATATCGCTCTAGGAAATGGGGAGGAAATGCGCTCCGTTGCTCCACGATTTGCGCGTTTTGCTTTGCAAACAGTCGTTAAAAATCCACGTATTTTTTGTGGTTTTATAAATCCTCCTTCTTCTTTTTTTTTCCTCGCGAAAGAGAAGATTTTATACGAACCGAAAAAATACGTTCGGAAATCAATTATTTTTATCAGAAGATATATATATATATACATGAATGTCTTTTAACTGCAGATTTGTTGAAGTTTCAGCACGAACATAACAAGAATTAGCATGAAAAATTGATGTCGCGCGACTACGATTCTTACGAAACGCAATCCTCGTCGAAAAACAAAATTGGCCATAAATTAATCGAAAGATCCAGAAACTGAGAGGAATGCCGCTTAATTTTAGACTGATCCCCTGACATGACATAATCTGCGTATAATTGTACAAAATTACACTAGACGGAGAAACATATATAGCAATACACGCGGATTTAAATGCGTCGGCACTTGAATTTGTGAATCTGCACGATATATATTTAATTCGTAAAACTTGTGCGTGTGCGACCACAAGAAGGAGAAACATTTTTACGGAAGCTCCGCTCGCTCGCGGAGACTTTAATGCCCGATCGTACTTTCTCTTCTTGTTCTTTACTTTGTCGATACTTGACCGCGACTCCTCCCACTATATATATGTATATAAAACCATTTGCATGTTTTTCGAGCGAAACTCCTGATGAAAAAAAGATTGCGTCAATAACTATACGCGACTGGCATGTAATCAACAACTGCAGCCCTAAAAGCTTCGATTAATACACGACCGAATGATTAATTGCTCGAAATTACAACGTACATGTATATATGTAGATATACTATGTTACCTTCGCACGTGCAAGAGAAAGTGTAAAACAAATAACGATACGAAACAGAATGCAAAGAACAACTTAGCACGTAAATAATAATTTCTTTCATCAATAATTAAAAATAATTCCGCAAATTTTGTATCTAAAACTATGTGGATTTTTTTTTTTTTACATTGAGAACTTGTTCGTCTTGTTTTGGTATATTCGTGTGTAATTAAGGCGTGTGTGTGCGTTTTTACCACAAGCCGCGGTGTTGCGACATCGACCTTGCTTAAAAAAACGAATGTCTAAGCGAAGAAGGCTAAGTCGTCTTTTTTCTCTAACACGAAAAGAGGAGACAAAATTTCTCACAGCACTCTCGCGAGAACAATTCCTGTGCGATTGCAGCCGCGGCGAAACGAAACGCCGGATCTGTACGCACGTGTATAGGACGCATCGCTGAAGCAAAAAAAAAAAAAAAAAACGCAATTGAAGTGTTCGTTTTCGCTTGATGGTGTTACGTCTCTGTGGCGATTATTCAAGAAAATGGTTTCTGAATGATAGTGCTCGGCCACTCTTACGTCATTGTTGTTTTTCTGAATGAAACTCGCGTCTAATGTCCCTCCTCTCCTCGATCCCGCAAACAGGCCGCAATCAATCACCGTCACGCTTACGCCTATTTTCCAAAAAATCGAATTCCAAATAAGTGTATTAGCGATTGATTTAATTAAAGCAAGCGTGTCTCTACACGCGTCACGTGACGAACTGTGACGCCACATCGGAATTGCGTGGGAGAGCGCACGAAAGTTCTTCTCGTAATTTACATCGAAACAAATTAATTTTTTGTCTCGCACATGTCGCTACTAGTGTTGTCGGATAGCACGGATTGATTAGAATTACCGCGCGAATTAATTAATTACTTGAATAATACTTGAAATCGAGATGAGACGCGTTGTATATCGCTACCTCTCGCGATGTCTCACACGTATAATCATAGTCTATATCCGACACACACTGTGAGAGAGAATATACGCGTGTGCAATTAATTCTCTCTCGCGCTTTTGAATTAGACACACAACACGCGGTGTGAACAAACGTCCGTCTATATAAATGCCGCGGTGACGGCTTAAATTATGCGCGATGACAGATCCCTATAATGTCAGATTTCCTTGAATCAATTTTGCGAACTACCGCAAGCACATCGATATATCGTCAGCAAACACGTGTATTTTATGTCTGTTTGGGACAACTCTTAATGTCTAATAAAATTAAAACAAAAAAAGAATTACTCGCGCAAAAATTAATCGCGATGGTTGTTACGAGATTTTTGTGAATCGAAAAAAATCTTCGACGATTGTCACCGACATTTACGCATATTTCGTATAAATTTTTGATGGCCGACTCCCGGTCGCATTTCTACACGGTCGCACAATACACGTACAGCGGATGATTTTCGAAGCGGTTATTTCGCACGTATAAAAAAAAAATTCGCGCCGTGGTGAGAATGTCATCGCCAACCAATTAGCAAGTAAATCATTTCGAATTTTTTTACTCGTACGTGTGAATCTTATCAACCTTGTTATCCTTGTGACCAGTTTCGTGGAGGTCGTAAACGAAATAATATTCACAGGATATTATGCAAAACCGACATCTCCGTTTCCGCGTGATCGACGTTTTCATGAAAGCGTACTTCTTCCTCTAAAAAGTGTGTATCACACGTGTGATGTAGTTTCCGTCCCGTGTTTAAACATGTTGCAACAATTATTTAAATGAGATTATTTAAATAAACCCGCGCTATGTAATGTACAATGATCGTTTCTCTGATTCATTCGTGTTTAAGACAATTTGAAATGCTGTGTTTAGTTACATAGTTGTGTGTAACCTCTTTGACGCGAATATCACGCAAGATATACAAATCGATTGGTATAAGGAGTGCCGTAGTTTCATCACGAGATGTTTTATATTGTGGATTAATACCGGTTTTAACGAAGATCGCGCGTGTGTCATAATCTAATATATAGTTTATTTGCATATAAATTCTATGAAACTGACACCGCGCTATTCATCATCATCGCGTGTACACATCGATTGTATATCGGACAGCTTTGAATTCAATAATGCGGCGATGTTACTCAAGTAATTGATCGCGATGATGTGATGCGTAAACACATCAATGCGATTACGCATTTACGCATCGTGGGAGTCAAATCACATCCTAATAATAACAAGTAGCTGCTCTTGCGTTTTTTTTTTCGCATTCAACAATAGTTTTTGAAATTGATTTTTTTTTCTTGCAAAACATGTGTTGTTGTTTTTTGCAAAAAGAAACCCCGTTCAGCGTTAAAGCATCATTGAACGTCAGTCAACAAAATATTTTAACATAAAATCGCGTGATATGGCACGAGATGATCGAACTATCCAATTACGTACTCGTAAGACGTAAAATATACATCCTCACGACTTCATGTGCGAGACGTGACAGCTGCTAAAATATAAGTACATCTAATAAACAACACACAAACTAATTTTTTTTCTTTGTAACACAATTGACGACGATACACATTCTCGTTACTCGTGAATTGCCGCTTTGTATCTCGCGTATTTATTATTTTTCATGAAAAAAGAAACAGAATTAGCTTTTTTATATAGTCAATAGATAATAAAATGCAAAGGTAATAAAAGTCGAATTCGTACAAGCAGAGAGAAGACTGAGAACGAACGGCCGTGAGAACATTTTATATGTTCCCGTCCTCGAACGCCGCGATATACACGTTTTGTAACTAAGTCCACAAATTGTTTGATTCTTTTAAGTAAAACATACCTCTTTTTATTCACGTAACACACACAACATAAAAACCAGATACACACAATAAATCAAAAGTTACAAAAAACACAGTAAAAGTTCAAACAATACAGTAAATAATATGTCAAGTAACAATTAAGTTTAATAATAAAGTTTAGTCTTGTAAACCGATATTTATAAACAAATCTTATATTATTGTATAAGTTTATCACAGTTTACCAGTTTATCACAGTAGTCAATAAAACAGTCTGGGAGTATAGAATCATAACATTATTAACATTAAACTGATCTTAACTATAACATCAAGCATTTTGCGTTTCTGTTGTCGATACGTCATGAAAAAAACAATTGTTTAAAATCAACGAGGAGATAACCAAATTTGATTGTCAACTATATGTTCTATAAAAATCTGTATAAATTTTTTTTTTTTTTACTATTTTCTCTCAGATCTTAAAAATATAAGCTTCTAAGTTCTCATATTAAAATATCTTAACATGTTACAAGGTTAAGTGAGAAGTATAAGTGCAACTTAAAACTTATTACAATTACGTAATTGTGTTCTTGCGCAATTACTTTTTTCAAGTGCAATATTTAGTCTTGTCACAATTATTACTTATGTAATTAGATGTTCAAGTAATAATAATACTTTTCATCAGAATATACTACGATCCCTCATATCTAGCGTTACAATCTACGTCACATTGACTACAAACTTATCTAGGAACATTCAAGAAGAACGCTTTAATTTTCCTTTCTTCTAAATAGTACCAAATGATGAGACAACTTCAACATTAAGTCTTTGTGAACGAAAGTGTTTAACATCCTCAATAGTTACAGAACAACCAGTTATATCCAACTTTTCCAAATTTGGTAGTGTCGAAGCCAAGAGGTTGATATCTTTTTCAGTAACATGCGAATAATGTCTGAAAAGAAATAACCATTTAAAATATGTTTTATTTTTTTTTTTTTTGTAATTTTTGTTTTCTGCAATTACAACCTACCTAATAAATAATGTCTTCAAATTATTACATCTACTTACATATTTACTAATATTTGACATAAAATAGTCTTGGAATATATAGTTCCTGTAATTGATTATTTCTTCAATTTTGTTTTCGCCAGATAGACTCTAGATCAAAATAATTTGATTTTTTTTATTATTATCATATATTGCGTAACAAGAAACTATTAATTTTTGTGATAATATTGTATATTGCGCGCACACGCGTGTGTGTATGTTTGTGAGAACAGAAAGAGCGAGAGAGAAGGGGGACATACTTCAACTTTAGAGTGAAAGTCATAAAGCAGCTTATCAAACATTTTTAACGGAACAAATTTTTGTTTGTAATATAATTTTTTAAAGTCCTCTAATAATTCATCTGACCATTCTTTTTTTAAATATGTAGGGCATTGTAGATATAGATGTTTTAAAGTTTTAATTTGACACAACCATTCAAATAGCCTGATTTCAACTGCCGTGTTTTGTAAGTCTAAAATCTAAAAAAAAAAAAAAAAAAAATGTCTCTAGAAAAGTGTGCTTTCCGCAATAGGAATAGACACATGAACTGTGCAGTAATTTGATTAGTAATATACTAGAATATAAGAAATACCTCTAGTGTTTTAAAATTACATTTAAACGTGTGTATATCTATCTCTGGATGAAATGTATGTATACGAAAACACGAAGTTATTCTAAGTTCCTTAAGATGTGTAAGTTCACCTATATCTCTCAAAGACTTCGGTGTAATACGCCATATCATATTGTCCAAGATCAAGCACTAAAGATTAAATTTTTCATACAGCATCAAATATCACATTTTTAATACATACAAACATTGTGTCGTTAAAACAACGTATGTGTGTACACACACACATACAGAGCTGTGTGTAAAGTACAATAACTTACTCTTAAATTTGGCATAAACAAACATATTTCAGAAAACGAAGTGAACGAAAAGTGTTGACAAAAATAATCACTATAAGCTATACAATTTTTTAATTCAAGTTTTTCAATAGTTTTTGGAAATTGTTGCATAGTAACCTAAAAACAATTATAATAAATTGGCATGTTTTTGTAACAAAAAAAAAACAAATTTTAAACAATATTTAATATGCTATACATGGAGTGTGTCCCGCAAAGTATAGTATTATGTGTCAAATGTACTTTGATATCTATAGTTGTTAGAAACATAGTTAATGATATATAGATAACACACAAGGTTATTCGAAAATTCTTTAAACATAACAAACTGGAATTATGTAATTAATGGTAATTTTTTTATTTGCTTGCCCCATTGTTATAGAAAGCTAAAGTATGAAAAATTTTTACACTTAGAGATCGAAATTTTTTCATAAGAAATTGAGACCTTGCAAAACACTTTGTACATAGATATAATTAATAAAAGCACATCGTAAGCTATCGCAAACGGACAACGTAATTTATTCTAGCGTTAATAGTGTAAACTAACATTTGTGAACAGCGACTAAAATCAAAAAGCATACGAAAGTAAAACTACGATATTGTATTGTCCTTATATTTTCTGATGTAGCTGTTTGTGGCACGTGTGTACGTAATGTGTAAATATTTTTATAAAAAGTAAAATATACCTCATGTATGTTAATATAATAATCCTCGATAATCAATTCCTTAAGTAGCCGGCATATTTCTTGTAGTTTATAAAAGAACAAGTGTCCAAGAATATTGTCAATGTTTCGTTCAAAATCACCACGTACTGCTAAACTGTGTGTTAATGGTTCTAAGAAATTTTCATACGGCAACATTTGAGACGGGATCATAGGCTCTTTGCGATGATCCAAAATCCAGAGAGATTCATCCAGCATCAGCATTGATAATCTTTCGCAACACCTATAATAAAAAAAAAAATCTCAAAAGATCTATTCTAAGAAATATCAGGAGAAGCGATGACTATACATATTTTGACAAACTATCACACAAAATACTGTGTAATAATAAGCGTGCTTGTTCTTCTGAAAGATAAAGCTTGTCAGCAATGTCAAACTACTGTTGCTATCTATCGTTTCGGATATTTATCAATTGCCTTACGTAAATAAAAATAACTCACAATCTAAGATTCTTCAAAACTTTCTTGTCTACAGTTTTCAATACGCGAAGAAGATCTCCATCTGAGAAGTCAAAAATCTTTGATATATTTACTAAATTTTCCTGTACATCCAGGTCTTGCTTTTTTTTTTTATCAACTTTTACTTCAACTTGTACTTGTTCTGTCTTACTGCTGGTTCCTTCTCTAGGTTCTTCCTCAAAAGAAGGTTCGTTCTGGTTATTTGCCATTTTTATATCTTCTTTGCACCTATATGAAAACCACTTAAACAATAAGAAGAGAGAAAAAACAAATATACATTTAAATAATCAGGATAATTTTGTTTGTGATGTGCTTACGTTTTGTAAAACTAATATCGAACATTTATCAAATCACGTAGAAGAACTTCAAGTTTATGTCGTCGAGACACGTAACACACGTGTATATATCTTTGTGTTGAAGGCTGACTAAACACACTGCCGGAACTCCGGCACATAAACTTTCTGTTTGAATTTTATCTGCCATTCCCACAGATTTTTATTTCAGCCTATAGTGTACTATTTTAACTGTCAGTTTTATTATTTCTGCTTATCTCTGTGACACACTACTTACTTCATACTTTCTATGCACGTGTGCCATCTCTCTATTGGTTTCTCACAAAAAAAGTACTACACCAAGTATCCGTATTATTGAATTTAGCAATACTTTTCAAGAAAACTTTTCTAAATTGCAAGATCCAACTCTGTCTCTGATATTAAATGTTATATAAAGGATAAAATAAAACCAAGATCGCAAAGTAATATTTTTTCTCCGAGTTATGACATTTAAAATTTCAATATGAGTATATGTACCTGAAGTGTAGCTTCAGGTGTGCTGAGAAAATAAAGAACAGGTGATCTTTTATTGCGATCTTTTTCTTTTGACTCTTTGACTGCACAACTATAGATTCCTACTTTTCCTACTCACAATATTCTCAATGTAATGGAGAATTACATCACTTTTGTTGCCTATACTAGTCAGATTCTTATTTTTAGTCTCACAATGAAGAAAAAGAGAATCGGAATAAGTCACACATGTGCTGTAGCACTTGTACTAAAATATATAATTGCAATATTATTACACTTCAAGATACAAATACTTTTATAAACATATATATCATTAAGCAAATTGTTTTATTTCTACATATTCTTATCATACTTTGAGAATTACTTGTATTAAATTAAAAAAGACAGAATATTAAATTAAATTTATACCTGCCCTTACGAAAAAAAACTACTGGCAGTAATATATTGCGGCAGTGGTACGAAAAAATTACTGGCATTCTGTGTAATTGCCAGTAATATTCTTAGTGATCCCTGTAATCCCTAATAATATTCTTATGTGATTGTCAGTAATATTTATATTATTGACTTTATTTATATGTAATCGGCAGTAGTTCTTTTTCGTAAGGGTGGTAATTTTGTTTTAAGAAACGAAGATGTTTTAATAAACACGGTTCTTTTGTCGTGATGAAGTAACATATTTCATTGTTTATAATATCTTGTGATACCTAATAAGTCTAAATGAAGACTAAGAATAAAAAGAAAATGATAAAATAGATATCAGGAATATCTACGAACGATATTTTGTCGCGCTACACATAGTATTATCTGTATAAATCATAAATATAAAAAACATGCAACGTGCTTTCCATCTCTCACATTTACAAACTTGTTAGAAAACTTTAAGAATACTCGTCGCAGTAATTGTTTCTTATGATTTATATTAAAGAATAAAGTTTTTGCTGTTTTACGTACATGCTGATTGACTCTCGTTAATTACAAGACGGTACATCGGGTTGCATAGAAGCAGGAACCATATAATTCAATGGAATTGATACACTTGCAAAATTTCATATTTAAAAAACAAAAAGAGAAAAAGCATTTTCTTGTAACGTTGATTTGTCTAAAAACATTTTCAAATTACGGTGTTATTACATGTTTTATTTAACACTCAACGAGCATTAAAAACGTTATTATCACACATACGTATTGAAAAAATTAATAGAAACTATAATACTTTTCTTGCTCATAAAAGTTTACATTGTTGTGTATAATAAGTTAACAGATATATATATTACGTAAATAAAATGCAGAGGCTACAGTATTATCATTGTACAATAATGTGGAAACGTAAAGACATCGAATGCACAGTCTGACTTCGTCGTGTTGAGAAAATAATAATGATGCGTTTCTGAAAATAGTAACGTTGGCAAGAAAATTCAAACGAGAAAATCACGGATTGTGACTTTTCCGGGACAATCAAATCCTTCCAAGAAAAGAAACCGTGTTCCGTTCTCCTCCCAAGAAGAATTGTTACTCACACAATTTTCGAAAGAAAGAGAACTGCTTATTATCCTTCAAAGAACCATATACGGTATTATCTTTGAACTTTTACCGCGCGCTTCGCTGATTGGCCAGCCGGAAACACTGGCCAATCGTCGAGTTCACGTGGTGGGAATCGTGCACGAGATAGCATGCACGCAGCACCGCTTAATTTAGCTCAGTGTACGCCGTGCAGTCGGCGACCATCGGTGGAGGAGAAATTTTGTTTGTGCGTATGGGTAAACCGTAAATGACACACAAACGACGACAAACTAACTTCGTACGTGCGTGTGTCTCGTACGCGTGAAGGAACAAGGAATCTCATTTATGATACGGAAAACGTGACAAGACCCGAACAGTCCACGTGGAGTCTGTGATAAATTGCGGAATTTTCCGGACGGATTAACTGTCTGTCAACGCTGAGAATTGTGCGAAGCATCACCTCGTGGATTTAGCGCGAGTTGGCGCGCGATTTTTGTGTCTCAGCGCACGCGCTTCGGCCGCAATACAAAATTTGTGAGTAACTTTTATTGGAAATTTTAATATTGGTTTGGTTTGATTTTGCAACGGCTAGGGGGCCATCAGTGCTCATACGCCATTCTGCTAGTTTATTTATTTTTTTAACGTAACGAGAGAGTTGTGCAGTATTCTGCTACCGCGCGATACACGGCCGTCTTTCGCAGTAGGTATGCCTATCTGTGTCGGGCTTGTGCTCGAGATGACTTGTGATCGCCTTGTGGGAGGGGAATTAATTCGGGATTAAACCCGAATTAAATTTTTGGAGGCTTGTATTCAGTTCGCCGATCAACCGATAAACTCGGTCGAAGGGGACCGGCCCGGAAAAAAATTCTTAGGTGATAAGCGGATTCGAACTCGAGACCTCCGGGGGTTTGCAAGCCCCTATACTCAGGCCGCGAGACCACTGGGCCGGTCTGGAACTTTAATATAGACAAAACGTCATTGAACTCACGGCAATGAGATCTCTCAGTGTTTTCACTTACTGATATTCGTAGCGCGCGATTTCAACGTCACTCAATTAGTTATGCATGTATTCGAAAATATACTATCTATGTCGCGTAACAGATTAAAGTATACTAATTGTAAGCGCATGTATATATATTTGAGAAGTTATTCAAAGACTCATCTGCCTCTGATTTATAATGTGCGTATGCTAAATAAGTATGAAAATAAATCAAATGGACGTTAAAAATCTTTCTGCGATGTCCTTGCTGAATGTTCACGCGCGATCTGGAAAAACATGAGATTGGATCAGGAAAGGGCTACGTGTTCGAGATATAATTGTAAATGTTTAATAATTCGTGACTGACTGAGAACGAAACAAATAATAGCTTTCAAGAGATGTAACAATATCTCCATTTATAGATCATTAAACAATAATGCAAATTGATTATAACGAACGAAACAACTAACAACAAGAGTCTACGAAACTAGGTCCGAGCACTTGCTTTTTTTTTCTCTCATTCTCATTGCTCCGTCTAAAAGGGTTAATTGACGAGAGAATAGCAAACGCGCCGGATGTGCGCGCTTGTTGTGTCTAGTTGCGTTCTGCGTTTTTGAACCGTGACTTTGGTGAATATAATTTTCGCACGTTTTTTACGTCGATGCACGCACACGTACGACACGAACGTCGGATTTAATTTTGTTTACTTCTTATATTTGTTCCATTACGCCGATACAATTGCAGCAACTGGATAATAAGATAACGTGATACTGAACACGTTAGTGACACAATAACGCCTGCATATTTGCGTTATGCATCGTTGGTGAAAGAATATATGACGCGCTGATAGAGAATGTTATTACGAGATAAAAGAATGTCATTTGAGATATTTAATACATTTATTTATTCTCTTCCGTGTATCGAAAGAGGTCAGTTGCTCAATTTTGTTTTCTTCAATTTTGTTTATCTCAGGAACGGATTATCAGTTAAGAAACCGACCGATTATATGCACACAAATATTGATAAAACAATCGAGATACGCATAACCAATCAATTCACTCTGTCACAAAGACCTTGAATCTAAAGTCGAAACCTATTTTTTTTTAATCGATAGAGAATTCCAATCTCTTTTTCGCGATTCAAAACAAAGTAAAAACAATTTACGGAAGTAAACAGAGATCGAGCGAATTAGCTTTATTCACACAAGCGATTCACACAAGCTTTACATAACTGTAATATAACTATCATGTATCTTTTTGTTGTGTGTGTGTGTGTGTGTGTGAATGCGCGCGACTCTATCCATGTTACACCAGTACTGACGGACACGTTCGCACGTTTCGCGATACGTGCGAATGCAGTCTCGGAAAAGACTGATACGTCAGCACGTGTAACACGTGTGTGTGGGAATCATTTCGCTATTCTTTCACGCGCAACCCACGACATTCTTGTTGGTTAAGTCACGAATATGGAAGAAACTGTTTTCTCGAGACGCGTTTTTCACTAAAAAAGAACAATACTGTTTGTTATACAATTTAGCATCTTCAAAAGAAGCAAAATACTGTCGAGATATTTGTGACGGGGGGATGCTTGTCGAAAATTCCGCTTTTATGCGAGAAGGAATCAATAGAATCGAATGCACTCACTCGAATGTTGTGTCCGTGTTACAAAGTAGGAATTTAAAGCGAAGAAATTCAGGAGGAATCACACACAGAAAGTTTTATCTGATGATCAGGTTTTGTAGACGCAATACCGCATACTGACGAGCAACATCTTTAAACTTTTCTCTTTCTTACAAGAAACACGCGTGTTTTCTCACATGTACGCCATGCAATTAACGCTTTACAACGCGCAATTATTAAACGACTTTTTTTTACATTTATAAATTTATTAACTTCGATAAACATATACATCTCGTTGTCACTCGTCGCATTTTCGTTTATCGGTCGTAAAAGATTTATCGACATCGTCGAGCTACAATGAGTTTTAATGTAGCTAATTTGGCTGTGACAATTGAATTAATTTTGCTAAAACTTAATTACAACACTCGAGCGAATGACATCTCTCCGCGTGACAAATAGTGTGACAGCAGTCTGCTCGCGAAAATATTCGCTCACACTAGTGTGTTTGTGAGCGGATGGGTGTGTAGTTATCACAATATCGAGTAACACCACCGTTCAACCATCTGTGTCGCATACGTTATTAGATTACTATTGACGCAAGAATCGCCTTACACGTTATTTGCGAAATAACTTTCTTTTGCGAGCGCAGTCGCAATATGTCACTTTGGAAAAATTTGATCGAAAGTTTTACGTAACCGAGCGATAAAATTAGCTGCGTTAATACTTTTCGATGCAACGCGACCCGTACACGCTCGTCACAAGTGCATCATGTGTTTGCAGTTTTGTGGCTCGTGATATTCCGCAACAAAATGTCTATAATTGACAATCCTTCAACTGTGACTTATTAAACCGGTAATTACACGTGACCAATAACCGCAAGCTGTAATTACATGCATTTTAAATATATGCTACTTTTACAGTAAATAAAGTCAAGTACGTATGTGCGCCTCGCGTGTACTCATCTACAAAAAGAAAAAATCTGAAGTCTAAGACGTGCGAATTAATTGTTGAGTTTTTCGACACAGTTTTGCGAACACGTGTAAAATACGACACAAACAGCAACAATATAATTCACTAATCGGATAAAATCGATCGATAAATTAAGATAAATATAAATTTCGTTAAGTTAATGGGATCGAAATTCATCCAAATCTCGAAATATAACACGAAATCGCTCGCTTTTCCGGTTCAGAGCGATTCCGAGGGTCTCTCGTTTGAGTCATAAGTGGCGATGGCACTTCGGTGACGTCACGTTGGGAGAGAGCGAGGTGGTTCAAAGTAGGCCGCGCGGACACGAGAAACGATCGGACCTATTGGCCATGAACGAATCATCGAATCGAGTTTGCTCGATGTCACGTAACGAAAAAGAAGTTCTCCTAATTCACGCCGGTTTGAGTCAGTTCTTTTGTTTTGTTTATTTTTAGATTGTTCACCCACGCGCGCTTTAAGATGCAAAGCGCCGTTCGCGTACTCGCGACGGATGTCGTAAAAACTTCAGCAAGACACATGTGACTTGTTGCACTCGCGAAGAATGCCGATTTTATTGGAATTCGACACTTTCTCAAGTCTCTCGAGAGTTTCATGTAGAAAATTCCGAATTGTTGATCGCCGCAATACGCAGACCATCGTTTTTCGTATCGTCTATCGCGTAATTAAATGATGCGCGCGGCGCGTATTTTCACACACGCGTGTGAAACAACTTTTGAATTATTCTGATATTTATATAGGTCAGATGTCTCTCCGGATCTTACTTTCCAAAGTGAAACACATATATATATGCCGCTGATTGAACGTCTGTCAAATGACGATGTGATGAAAACTCCGTTAAATCTCGTTAGGCACTTGTAACAGACGCGAGAATGTACGCGAGACAGGAAAACGACACGCTACTCGTTCAAATGTGATTTTATATTCAGGTCGCACATGTTCAAGCAAAATAATGAACGCGTTCGTCTCTAGGAGACCTTAACCGCGTATCTCTGTCTCCGTCCGTCCGTCAAGTTCGCATCCTTCGCGTAAACAAGCTTGTGTCGTTTTCTGATCACGCATCTTTCTCGGGGAGAGACCGACGGATCAAAATATAGATTGTTGTACGCATAAGACTGTAATTAATCTGTGATCGGCCGTTCACACGTCCCGAGAAAATAAGATATCGAGAAAAGTGCACGATTTGCTAAAAAAAGAATTGATATTGAAACATCCTCTCATTATTGTGTCTCATAAGCTGTTAATTATGAAAATATCTGTATTAAATCGCTTGTGATAAACAAATAATAATTTGTTTAACAAAAATAAAAATTAGTCGTAGGAAAAAACTTGCTAATTATAAAATTGATACGAAACCGTTCGAGATAAGGTGAATTTTTTTGACTAAAAATAACACGCGTGCACAGTACTGTTGCATATCGAGAAAACGTGATATTGACAAGTCGGGTGAAAGAGTTATCTTCGCAAATGCGCTTGTACATAAAACAAAAATACATATATATAAATAGAATATGAGAGAAAAGTGAAAAGATTGAGAGAGAGAGAGAGAGAAAGTGTGTGTGTGTGTGTGTTATGTCAATAATTTTTATACTTTTGCCACTTATAAGAATAGAAAGATCTTGCTTTTTGACGATATAGGAGATCATTTCTTTGGTCCTAGAGAGATTTATAGTTTATATAATTTTTTGCTTTATTGAGAAGCTACAGATATCAAGTGGATGGAATGTGAAAATAAACGCTAGTACGTTAGTAAAATGTTTGCTTAAAAAATTTTTATACACGATTTTGAAAACGCACTCCGATTAATTTTTATTGCTTTGTGTCCATTGCTTTTATTCTTATAAGTTTCTAGTTTTGACAAACTGTGATACGTAAAATTATTTTTTCATTGCACTTTACTTTTTTATTTTTGTTTCATTATCGAAAACTTTGTTGACGAGCATGTAGCG